GGACCCCAAAATCCTCGGGTTTGGCCCCAAAAATAATTTGGGGGGGGGGGAATAGTCAGGGGAGCCCAAAATCCCCGGGTTTGGCCCCAAAATCCCACGGTTTTACCCCAAAAATCAGGTTTAGACCCAAAATCCTGGGGTTTGGCCCCAAAAATCTCCAGGAAATCCCAAAATCCTGGGGTTTGGACCCAAAATCCTGGGGTTTTGCCCCAAAAAATCAGGTTTGAACCAAAAATCCCGGGGTTTGGACCCAAAATCCTGGGGTTTTACCCCAAAAATCTTGAGGAGACCCCAAAATCCTGGAGTTTGAACCCAAAATCCTGGGAATTAACTCCAAAAAGTGAGGGACCGGGGGATGATTTTGGGGTAAAAAGGGGCGATTTTGGGGCAAAACATCACAATTTTGGGGTTTGGGTGAGGATTTTAGGGTAAAATGGGGTTATTTTGGGGCAAAACATCAGGATTTGGGGGTTTCAGGGCTCATTTTGGGGTAAAACCGGGTTATTATGGGTTAAAACACCACAATTTGGGGGTTTGGGGGAGGATTTTGGGGCAAAATGGGGCTATTTTGGGGCAAAACATCAGGATTTTGGGGTCCCAGTGTGGATTTTGGGGTAAAATGGGGCTATTTTGGGGCAAATCATCATGATTTGGGGGTTTCAGGGCCAAATTTGGGGTAAAACGGGGCTATTTTGGGGCAAAACATCACAATTTTGGGGTTTGGGTGGGGATTTTGGGATAAATGGGGCTATTTTGGGGCAAAACATCAGGATTTTGGGGTCCCAGTGTGGATTTTGGGGTAAAACTGGGTTATTTTGGGGCAAATCATCAGGATTTGGGGATTTTGGGGCCAATTTTGAGGTAAAACGGGGCTATTTTGGGGCTAAACATCACAATTTTGGGGTCATGGGGGGGATTTGGGGGTAAAACTGGGTTATTTTGGGGCAAAACATGAGGATTTTGGGGTCGCGGGGGGGATTTTGGGGTAAAACGGGGCTATTTTGGGGCAAAACATCAGGATTTTGGGGTTTCAGGGGTGATTTTAGGCTAAAATGGGGTTATTTTGGGGACAAACATCACAATTTTGGGGTTTTGGTGAGGATTTTGGGGTAAAATGGGGTTATTTTGGGACAAAACATCACAATTTGGGGGTTTCAGGGCTGATTTTGGGGTAAAACTGGGTTATTTTGGAGCTAAACATCACAATTTGGGGGCTCCAGGGGGATTTTGGGGTAAAACCGGGTTATTTTGGGGCAAAACATCAGGATTTGGGGGTTTCTGGGGTGATTTTAGGGTAAAATGGGGCTATTTTGGGGCTAAACATCATAATTTTGGGGTTTCAGGGCTCATTTTGGGGTAAAACTGGGCTATTTTGGGTCAAAACACCACAATTTGGGGGAGGATTCTGGGGTAAAATGGGGCTCTTTTGGGTCAAAACACCACAATTTTGGGGTCCCAGTGTCGATTTTGGGGTAAAACCGGGTCATTTTTGGGCAAAACATCACAATTTTGGGGTTCCAGGGCCAATTTTGGGGTAAAATGGGGCTATTTTGGGGCAAAACATCAGGATTTTGGGGTCCCAGTGTGGATTTTGGGGTAAAACCGGATTATTTTGGGGACAAACATCACAATTTTGGGGTCGCGGGGGGGATTTTGGGGTAAAATGGGGCTATTTTGGGGCAAATCATCATGATTTTTGGCGCTGACCAGGCGTGGGGCGACCCCCGGCTGCCGCAGGAGGAGGTGGGTCAAGGTCAAGTTCCCCCCCCTGACGGCCAAGTGCAGGACGGTCTGGCTGCTCTTCAGGTCCTGGGGGGGGGATACTGGTTTATACTGGTTTATACTGGTTTATACTGGGAGGCACTTGGGGGGATCCAGGGGGATTTTGGGGCATTTTGGGAGATATTGGGAGTCCCTGGGCCATACTGGGAGACCCTGGAGGAGGGATTGGGGGTCTCCCAGTCCATACTGGTCCATACTGGTTTATACTGGTCTATACTGGGATGCACTTGGGGGGATACAGGCGGGATTTTG